CAAGCAAGTAGATAGGTAGGCATTCTGCACCTGAACTTCCAACAAGCTTTCATCAAATTGAAGTAAACTTATTGCATAACTGTTAAGTTAGGAATGGTCCTCTTGTGGCTTGTTAAGTACTTAAAGAACAGGAAGCAGAAAGTGGAAGAGTAGACAGCTTTCACAATGGGAGGGAAGGAAGCACTGAGATCTCCCAAGGATCTATACTGGGGCTAGTATTGGGACTGGTATTAAGTTTATCCTTCTTGGGACTGGTATTAAATTAATGCACATATTATCTGGAGGTGACAGTGAGTTAGCAAAGTCTGTAGTTGACATCAAATTTATTCAGATTGGTGAGAACCTAAGAAGCCTGCACAGTTCTTCCAAAAGCTTATCTTGAAAGTGGATGAGTGAGATGTAAAATTGGTAGGAATTGGTTCAAGTAATTGTAAATTGATGCATATTGTGTATGTATGTGTGTCAGGTGGCGAGGGGTGAATCCTAACTTCAGTCTCCCAAATGCCAACTGGCAGCAACTGATCAGGAAAGATTTGGGATTGTGATGGACAGCTCCATGAAAATGCAAACTCCTTGCTAGGAGTTGATAGGGAAAGGACTCGAAAACAAAGCAGCTGGTAACGTAATGTCATTACTGTATCAGAATCTATGATGCAACCACACACGGTATACTGTGTAAATATCTGGTTGTCCCATTGCAAAGAAGGATGCTGTAGAGTTGGAAAAGGGGCAGCACGAGGGCAGCCAATGTTCAATTAACTGGAGCACTTTGACCACAAGGGAAAGCTAAATCATTTGCAGCTTTTCTAGTTTAGAAAAAAAGATGACTGGAAGGCGACACAGATGGACATGATAGAGGTTTCTAAAATAAAAGGCTCTTTAAGTTAGGAGTGGACACTCTGCAGCCCTAGGATTGTTTCAAAAAGTCCTCCGAAAGCTATCAGTTCAGGTCTCTGGCAAGAGCAATTCGTCTGCTTCAGATGGCCAGCTGTGGGGTTAGGAAGACAGAAGGGGCTGTCAGAGAGAGAAGGGGTGGCCCATCCACTTTCCACCCTGGCACTGCCCACTCCTGCTTTAAGTGTTCCATGTATGCCCAATGTCTAGGCCATTTCGGTCAACATCCTACCAGCTGTTGGTCTCAGAGATTAGCCTTTTATTCACCCGTGTATACTACTCATTTACATTTTCCATACTTAATTATATGTTAATCCTTCAAATAACCCTATCATTCTAATGCCTGCCTTTCTTTTTTTTATTATTCTCCCCCTCCCTTTCCTTCACATAATGAATTTTGGAGCTCAAAATATTCCACTGGAAAATAGCTCCGGGCTTCCGCTGTTCATAGAATTAAGCTCTGAGCTTCTTAGCCAGACCTGTACAACTCGTGACCTACCATGCCAAGCAAAGCCCACCAGCATGGAAGCTCAGTGGGGGCTCAATAAACCTCATGGTTTTGCCCCCTACTTGGAATTGTAACACACACACACACAAAAGGTGTTGTTGTTGTTGTTAAGCAGCACATTACATAGCTGGTAGGGTGCATTCAACCTGGTGGGTGCAGCCCTGTGGGTGCAGGCAATTCGCCCCATAAACTTTAGTTTTAATCAACGTCTGCACTTCTTACTTCAAAGGTGGCTTTGGAGAACTCAGAGGGGCTCTTACAGGAGCTCGATTAGTCATCCCAGGGGCTCCTGCCAGAATACGCGCCTAGGTTTGATTTGAAAATTTCCATTAATTTGCAACGTCCGTCTTTTGAGTCCATCTTAGGACACTGAAGAGGAGCGATTCCACCTCCACCCCAGTAATTTTACTGGCTAGGAATCCTCAGACAGCTATTATTATTGTTATTATTTTAAACAGAGATGTGGCCTGGATCTGTGCTGTTGAGCGTTGAAAGAAAAGAAAAGAAACCCAGCTCCTTGCAATGGTTGCAATTCAAAATCCGTCACTTGGATTAAAAATTAAAAAACAAACACAAAAGCAAAGTACAACCAACTCTACTTTGTACCAAAAGAACACATGCTTCAAGACTGTTCCCGGTGGCTCCCACCCCCACCCCGGCTTAAACAGTGAATGGCTGAGCTCCGAGTCTGAATAAACAGTGTGGGAGGTGACTGTTCTGTGAGGCCCATGTAAAGGATGCAATCATTCTTCTTACTTAAGTCTGTTCAGTATTAAATCATGTGAAACGAGCTCAATTACTACGTGTGACATTCACACCACCAGTGCATGGCCAACATAACAGGTATTGTTTCTTAAAGGAGCGGGGGCGGTGGGGGGGGGGTGCGCACAAGGAGAAGGAGAAAGAAATATTCTGTAGCAAATTCTCCCAGCTTCTGGTATTTAATTGTGTATAAAGTTCATTGACTTGCTGGTTGCTGTCAGATGATCTTGCTTAAAGCCTATGAAAACATCTCAGGAATGCAGTGATGTGGGTAGGAACTGAAGTGAGTTCATGCCACAGGCGGCTTTAAATGAAACAAAAAGTCAACAAGCCAACCCCCCCCCCCATCCCCAAGGAGGGAATCTCACCAAAGAGAGGGCTGTGGGATAAGCACTGGTTTAACCTCACTTAAATGCTCCAGAAGTTATTATAAACCAAATTTTCCCCGCGCACACACACACACACACACACACACACAAAACCCCATGCTTTTTACTGGCTAATGAACAGATGAAGTAGTTCTGTTTCTATGTAACCTGCATTTGGAAGGGTGTGTTTGTGGAAGGAGACCACCAGAAGGAAAACTGTAGAATGCATGGTGTGGAGGAGGTTAGCTTACGGTGAATTCGGAAGTTCCTGCTACAAATCTCAACACAGCTATGTATATACCCTAATGACCTCAGCCAAGTCAGCCTCTCTAAACGTCCTACTTCAATCTATAATTTGGGAAGATCAATTATTATCATCATCATCATCATCATCATCATCAATTGAATTTATATATTGCACTATACCCGGAGGTCTCAGAGTGGTTCACAGAATGAAATCAAAATATAAAATCACAAAACACATAATCAAAATAAAAACAACAACCCAATAACCCCTCACCCCCCAAAAAAAACAACAACAACAACCCAATAACCCCTCAGCCCCCCCAAAAAACCACATTTTTAAAACGGCATAGGATCCTCACAACATTTAAAGTAAGACAATTAACAAACCTGGACCAGAGCCACTCATTGGAAAGCGTGCATCTAATTGCATCCCACACCTCTGCCAATCTGTCTGCCCACCATTTGCTACCAAATTACGTTGCCGGCAGGCACAGTGTTATAATAACAAGCCACCCAGAGCCTACTAGGCTGTTTAGATTACTGAGAACTGAAAGAAGCTCTTTGAACTTTGCGTCACGGATAACACAAGAGGCAATCCCGCCAAGGCTGTTGCCCACTTTGCTCCCTGGTACTCTAGGGAGCCGTGGGCAATGAAACAGGAAGCAGAATGACTGGAGCACAGATGGTGCGAGTCTCTCAGGTTATGGCACAAAAGTAGGTTCCGTTGCATCCTCAGGTAGCTGCCTGGAGCTTTTCCAAGGTGCCCCATGTCTTCCCTATCCCTTGTTGTATGTTTATATCACAAGTCCGATTTCATTATTACTTTGCATTTTTTATGCATGTCAGATATCTTGGCTTGCTTATTTTGCACATCTCTGTTCTACTGGATCAAGGAAAATATGTATCCTGATGTAAGTGGTGTACATAAAACCCCCATGAAATTAAAAGTAAAAAATTAAAAGCAACATGAAACTGGGTCATATGCCAGCGTAATCCTGTGTAAATGAGTTTTTATTTACATTTATTCTGTCTTGAATACTGAGATCCCAACCGCTTTAAAGTATACATGGGCTGTGGGGTCTAGATGTTTTCCCTCATCAAAGCACTACTGTGCTACTCGCAAACTCATCATCATTTTCTACTGTGAGGAATATGTCATTCTCCCTCCCAACTTGTGTGCCCTTTACTGTCATGAATGCTGCATTGAATCTGTTTTCAGGAATGCTTGGAATCCCCATACATGCTTTGCACCCAGGAAGTCCCACTGAAAAGGACCAGAAACCAGGCGATGCAAAAGACAATCTGCCTGACACCCTGGGAAGCTGTTGCCTGTCAAAATTGGCAATACTGCATGGACAAGCTGTCTGACCAGACAAGGCAGCTTCCACTGTACTAGGTGGTGCTTCTGACATCAGTAGTGAGGAGTGACATAATTCTTTGGGGCTCACAGCACATCAAGGTCGGTTTTAGAGAGTCCTCCTTATTTATCTAGCAATGTTACTGCAGTAGTAACATTCCCGTGGAGAAGCACTTGTTCAGCTTGTGGAAGGAACAAAGTGGCAAAACAAAAGCAAGAATCCTGTTACAGAAACACTGCAGAATTTCGATGCCTCTCATCTCCAGCATCAAACTCACATCAACATTGGTGGTAAAAGGGCAAAACAGCAGTACATGTACCGTCTCCCCACACTCAAGCATGGCTGTTCTTTCTTCCATTATGTTCAGACTAGACACCATGCTATTGCCTTTCAGCCACTCTTTGTAGGAAAGTCCTGGAAGCCTAACACACAAGCTGAGTGATCTTCCTCAAAATCTCAGTTTAGTTCCTTTGCTGCTCATTTATATGGCGCATGTTGGTGGCTACAGTAGGCTTAGATTATAACTTCAACCATCTGGAACATAAGCTTCTTCACAGACAGCTAAAACCAGATCACTGCCATATTAAATTCTAAATTGTGGTATATTAAATTATAAAACGTTGCTTCAAAATATGATCAGTTTAAGGAAAAGCTGTAATATTAAAAAGTGTACTGGGGGAAAAATGCATTCTAGTTTCTTTCTCTTTAATCTGATCCACTTAAGGCAGACTACAATCATGTCCTTCATTTTTTTTTTGGTGGAATAATCTTTACCGTATTACATCGTCCATACATTACTGGAAATTCATTTTGCTTTCCATTTCCACTGCTAACGCTACCTTGGTTCTCATGGGCATATGGAACAAGAACTGAAAATAAAGCTTGTGAACTGCTGCTCCTTCCCCACAATTCAACAGCCTTAAAAAATCAATCCGTTCCAAAACTTTTCTGCAGCTGAATTCACACTGGAAAGCAATGTACTGTACTGAGAACTGAAACGCATGTGATTAAAAGTTGCAAAAGCCTGAAAAGGTTGCAAAACCCAACAAGAACAGAGTATCTTCAAAACAGCTCTTGCCAGATAGGAGACTTATTTCCAGTTTACTTTTTGACACATGAAATAAAAAATGGAAATATTTGCACATCATAAACCTCAATCCTAAAAACAGGGAAAAAAGTTACCAGTGTACCAATTACATAGAAGTAAGTACCACTGATGTGAGTGAAACATATTTTCCACATGTATCTGATGAAGAACAATGTTGCCTATGAATGTTTGTTCAGCAATAAACAGCTATTTTCAAATGTGCTTAGACATGAGTTCAATTGTCATCAACATGCCCAAGTCTATATGGGATTCTGTCTTTAAACTTGGACAGAAATTTTGCCTTGTTTCCATACAAGTGGTAAAGTTTTATAATTTAAAGCAAGGGCATGATACATATATATTTAACACATCCTAAGACTTCATTCAGCGGTTCGAATCCCTGCGACGGGGTGAGCTCCCGTTGCTCGGTCCCTGCTCCTGCCAACCTAGCAGTTCGAAAGCATGTCAAAGTACAAGTAGATAAATAGGTACCGGTAAATAGGGAAGGTAAACAGTGTTTCCGTGCACTGCTCTGTTTCGCCAGAAGCAGCTTAGCCATGCTGGCCACATGACCCGGAAGCTGTACGCTGGCTCCCTCAGCCAATAAAGCGAGATGAGCGCCGCAACCCCAGAGTCGGCCACGACTGGACCTAATGGTCAGGGGTCCCTTTACCTTTAAGACTTCATTCACCCATTTTCAGAAATGCATATGATTCCAATCCCCAACCCAACAATAATTTTTAATAGTTTCCAAAGTCTGCCATAAGAATTAACAATTTGGAGAAATTCGTTGGACTGATGTGGAAAATCTTTTAAAATGGTGTGATGTTCACATGACTTCCTAGCCAATGCCTGCAGTCAGAGCGGGACCACAGGAAATATTAACATGGCTGAAAGAGTAAAAATTCACACTTTAGACCAAGAAGTCCCGGGCGCAAATACTTCACCACAAATTTCAGCCAACGTGACAAGTTCAAACTAAAGTAAGACTTCAGTTCTGCTCAGACATACACTAAGCTAAGCCATAGGATGATAGGAAACAGTTTTCTTTTTCTTTTTAAATCAATGTTGTTAAGGTTTATAGAGAAAAATACAAAACTTAATATCTCCTCCCCCTTTTTTAAACCAAACCAAGATTTTTATCTAGATACAATAAAAACACAAAAAGGGGTGGACAGGGAAAAAAAGAATAGAAGAGAGGTTAAAAGAAAAAGAAAACAAAGAACTTCTAATTCTTCATCTGTCCACTATAAAAAACAATACTCACTTCGTCCAATCCAATATAACACCCAACAAAGCCACTTTCCTCAAATCCAGCTATCATTGTTTCCTTTTCCCACAAAAAGTCTATGAGAGGTCTCCAATCTTTGACAAATGTTGACTTTTCTCTTATTAAACATGTCAGTTTCAAAATTGACACATTTAAGGAAGCAGTTTTTCTACTGTGCCAGACCACTGGTCCACGTAAGCTCAGTATTATGGCTGTGACTCTTGGATTTCATAAAGAAGTATTTCACTGCCATACCTAGAGATGCCAGGGATTGAACATGTGATCTTCTAAAGCTGAACATGGAAAAATAATGAGCCTGATCTATGTGGAATGCCCTGCCAGAGCTTCCTGATCCACTGCTATGATTGGCATTTGTCCCATGTAGCACGGAAGAATCATCTATGCATGTCATTGTACATACGATGTACAATACGATGTACACTGCCTTGTTGTATTTTTATGAAAGTATAGAAATTATTTCTATGAAAGTATAGAAATATAAAGAGGACAGTCTACCAGGGTGATCATGTCTGGAGCCAGGCATGGCTTCCAAGGCCTGCCCATCCTCATTCCGCAACAAGCTGGAGCTAGCAGCCCTCCTGAATGAAGCATCCCATGCTTGTCATGAGCTGCTAATCTTATGGCTGCACAAACAGATATCAGAACCACGGAAAGTGCAAAAAGCCTAACCTTCCATGCATTGGGCTGCACTTTAGCAATGATGTTTCCTAACCTGAAAACATACTGTCCAGCATAGATATCTGATAAATTAAAAACAAATATCACTTTTTAAATAAACACAGATAAGTCTAAGTTTCTGCTTTTACGTTTTTGATCATGTGCAGCGTTACATGTGACATTGCTTCATATGTTTAGTTGTTTAGTTGTGTCTGACTCTTCGTGACCCCATGAACCAGAGCACGTCAGGCACTCCTGTCTTTCATTTCCCCCCCTCAGTTTGTTCAAACTCATGCTGGTAGCTTCGAGAACACTGTCCAACCATCTCGTCCTCTGTCATCCCCTTCTCCTTGTCCCCTCCATCTTTCCCAACATCAGGGTCTTTTCCAGGGAGTCTTCTCTTCTCATGAGGTGGCCGCATTAAAATCGTTTCCATTACTGTTCAAAGCTATTTTTGTGTTTTATGAACCGTGATAATAACTTCTCGCTTCATGTAAATCACTGAGTAATACCATGAAACACTGGGCAGTATTCAACTAAATAATTGCATGAGTTCCACTAGTGCACAGGGACTTTTCCACTTTCTCTTCCTCCCTCGTTCCTTACACAGTCCTAAAATCTGTTCTAGAGGTTTGGGGGAACACATTCAACAGATTTAAAGGGCGTGCAGGGAAAGGAGACGGAGGAACTTTCGCATTAGGCTCTGTTGAATTTTACCCTTTATCATGTGTATGCAACTCCACAGGCCCTAATAACTGAAAATTATCAGAATGCATTCCTCAACCAGTTGTGTAAATTTGGTCCTTTTCTGAAAATGTGCATGACTGAATGGCTATGCCGCCATGCTAACATGATCCTTAATAGCATCATTCTGAAAATATCAATTTTCTTACTGTGTATATCTATCATGCAATTGGGGAATCTGGCCCATAAAGCAAAACAAACAAACAAACCTGAGCTTTTCTATTTAGCCCGGAATACAAAGCCACAATTAACCTGTGGGAAACATGACAATATTTAAGAGAGTGAGAACATACAGCTCACTAGATACAACTTTTGTCTGGCCCTCTGGTTTTAATCCATTTTCCAGGTCTGCGTAAAACGAATTGTGATGAAAACTTCATAGCGCTTAAGCTTTAAGCAGTCTTTTCCATTTTAAAGCAATACATCTTCTCTGCCTGAAACCTGCACTACACACACACTCAGACGTCAGTATGCTCTCACATCTAAAAAGGGAAAAAAAGAGCACTTCCAAAGGGAAGGGAAGCGATTAGGTATTGGAGTCAGAGAAAGAGTAAAGATTAATTGAGCAAGAAGAAGGAATGATTAAATTGAAAGCCCTCCTCTGTATGTTTGCACCGAAGATTAAGTGTGTTTAATCTTTCTGAACTGGTGCAGTGGAAAGAGTGATAAGAGAGGCCTAGCCTGGACTGGAAAATCTTACTGATTTTCCCTCCCAAAGAAACTGGTCAGGGGAAAAAGAATACTTTCCATCTAACAACAATACTAGGACTTAGGTCTTATATAGCAACTTCTATCAAGAGAATGCCTCACTCTGCTTCATGGTGAAGCATCTCTATTCTCTCTGTGTGCTTTTGCTAACCTAAGTGGCAGTTTGGATGCTAGAATAAGCAAGCCCAAAGACTTCCATGTGCCTAGAGAAATATTCTTTTTCCTCTGAACAGCAGATCCACCCCCTCACCTTTTCCTATATTGCATGTCGCTTTTGAAACTCCAGTCACTTTCAACAACTGTTCCGTTTACCATGCATCATGGGGAACTGTTGTCCAGGATACCAAGAGACAAAAATCCCTCTTGGCGTAATGGAACTAATAGCAAGGAGCCTGCTGCCTGGCTTCTATAAAGCTTACAAATAGCCTGTGTTGACGCAGGATTCCATGCATGAAAACAAAGCGAGGAATTCAACGTAGCGTTAAGCAGGATGCGCCGTCAGCACATGTGTTTCTGCTTGCCTGATGGAACTATCTGCCCACGCCTCCCCCAGCACGCAGTTCCGGGGTTCTCCTGACACCCCCCAAAAAAAAAATTTGAAGGGAGCGCTCCGGGGGAGGAGAGGTGAGAAAGCCCTGTTGCGCCAGCAGAAGTCTTCGTGTTGCCTTCAGCTGGTGGGGCTTGTTGGTTGAATCCTGCCCAAAGAGCTTAGTGGTAACGCAGAAATGTAGAAATTACATGCATTTTCTTTTTTGCTACTGTTGACTTTGAATACAGTGGTACCTTGGGTTACATACGCTTCAGGTTACATACACTTCAGGTTACGGACTCCGCTAACCCAGAAATAGTACCTCGGGTTAAGAACTTTGCTTCAGGATGAGAACAGAAATCATGCTCCAGCGGCGTGGCGGCAGCAGGAGGCCACATTAGCTAAAGTGGTGCTTCAGGTTAAGAACAGTTTCAGGTTAAGAACGGACCTCTGGAACAAATTAAGTACTTAACCTGAGGTACCACTGTATGTTTAAATGCAAGTCTTTCAACTGTTTTTAATTGATAATTTTAATGTTTTACTTTCTTATTTTTGTAAACCACTTTGAGATTTTTGACTATCAAGCGGTATATAAATTTTGCTAAATAGATATCTATATATTCCACCACCCATTTTGCTAGTAGAGTTTTCCCTCCATGCACATCTTCCAGAGAGAAGTAGGTCAAGCTGACGAAAGCTTGAACTTGATCTCCTTCCTTCACATGGAATTTCTTGTAGTTTTCTTGGGAGTTCAGCTCTGGGCTGTAGTAATCGCAACCTTAGCAGCCAACAAAGTCCAAAGATGAAAAAAGAAAAAGTCAAGCGTGAGGATGACACTTCCCCACTTTGAATACCATAATCATATCAAGTACTTTTAAGTAGATTCTTTGCATGAACAAAGCAGAAAACTGCATTACAGTTCTGCCATAATTTGTCACAGTGAATGAAAGAACTCTCCCAGGCTACGATACCATTCAATCCTATATGTAGATTACAGGGAGGGTGACATCCTTTTAAAATAAAACAAACAAACAGATCAGATTGTTACAAATTATTTGGAACTTTAAAAAAAAAACAAAAATAAAATCAAGTATATTTTTTAAAAGAACCTGGTTTAAAAGGAAACTTGACTCTTAATTCCAAAACAAATATGTTAAAGCCAACACTAATAACAAATTTGGATCATTTGAGATATCTTCATCCTTTCCAGACCCAGGACCCACTTTTAACCCAAACATAAATTGGAGGAGCCGTCTCTTAATCCTTTACCATAGATATTTGCATGGTTGTAGTGTTCCTGCTCCAACCCACCATGGATCAGGCTGTGGGATCCCAACTCACCAGTCGAAGACCAGTGATCTATCCAACATTGAGTTGCTTTTCTGTGTAACCCCATGGAATTCTCACTTAACCTTGGAACTAGAAAGTCATCAGATGCACAGATGTCCAAGAGAAGCCATGCTGTACGCGGCAAAGATTATCAACTAAGCCCAGATGAATGATCATGTACTCCTGATTCTATGGTCTCCAACTGCCCGACCAGTATTTAGTGCTATGTGTTTAGTTCTCAGATTATGGATATTTATAATTCTACTCACCAAATAAAGTGTGAAAAGTACCGTATGTAGCTGCATGGCTAAAGTTTTAGAATAATGCTCCTATGTTGTATTAAGGCTCTCGTTAGTTGCAAGCCAATATGTTTTAAGTGCTATAAAAGGTAAAGGTAAAGATACCCCTGACCAACAGGTCCAGTCGTGACCGACTCTGGGGTTGCGCGCTCATCTCGCTCAAGAGCCCGGGAGCCGGCGCTTGTCCGGAGACAGCTTCCGGGTCACGTAGCCAGTGTGACTAAGCCGCAGCTGGCGAGCCAGCACCAGCGCAGCACATGGAAACGCCGTTTACCTTCCCGCTGGAGAGCGGTCCCTATTTATCTACTCGCACTTTGAGGTGCTTTCGAACTGCTAGGTGGGCAGGAGCAGGGACCGAGCAACGGGAGCTCACCCCATCGCGGGGATTCGAACCGCCAACCTTTCGATCAGCAAGTCCTAGGCTCTGTGGTTTAACCCACAGCGCCACCCGCGTCCCTTTAAGTGCTATAGCAGCCTGTATTTATGTGTGCTTGAAGTGGAAATATATGACATCCAAAATGGGAAACTTTATTTGAATCAGTTTGAGTTATAGCAATGGACCCTATAACAGGTAGGAAATGAGATAGGCCTTTAGTATTTATTTCCTTGTGCCCCAAGGAGAGAAAGGTGCTCTAACTGCACCGGCCTCCACAGTAAAAATAATTGCTTGGACCCAGAGTTCATGTGTACAGAATTCTGCTAAAAAAACACCCCTATTGGCTTGCAACTAAATAGAACCTTAATACAACCTAGGAGCATGATTCTAAACATTTAGCCATGCAGCCAGAGATTTTTGCACTGCGTACGCTGGAGAGAAAAGGCAATTATCACTTGATTCCTCCTTTTCCAGCGTCCGCTGAAAATCTGCTTTGGAGGGTCCAGAACAGTGTGGGAGGGGGAAGTGGATAAAATCACCTCTCCCCCTTGGGAGCCTCAACAGAATCACAGTCCCATTCTGTGAATGGAAAGAGTTCTTCCAATTGTGGGAGGAAAATTCTGGATCCAAATAATCTACTGGAATGGCTGTCCATTGTTATGGATTTTCAAACGTTTGGAACTGACTCATGCATAACACAAATTATCCTTACTATGCAGTGGGTAGGGAGTAAATAGCACACATTTTTTTTGGTTAACCCCCCAAAATTGGTCTGAACTTCTGCAATATTGTCTGGACTTTAAAACGGTGCAGCTATAGAAACATTACTTCTTTTGTGTGTTGAAATAGTTTCTGGGACAAGCGCCCTTTATTTCCTTTTTTTCCTTTGCTATACAAAAATATAGCCTTTTGTGTAAACAGTTTGTGCCTCATTAGCCAGTCATATAAGCCGCAACAGTGAATAAAATTAATTTAAAATGCAACATGTACTTTACAGTTTAGATTTCAAAAATCCAGCCTGCCTTTTCTGCCTCAGAAGAATATTCTTTTCCTTCCTCTGTGACATATATAGAACAAGAAAGTCTAACTTCTGCTTGGATGCAGTTCAGTTTTTCTACAAATGAATTCTGCTAAGTAAAAGACCATTTTCGATTTTATACATTCTGAAAGGAGAAACTAATTCTTTGGAACATAATCAACAGTTATATTTATATTCAAAACCAAGGATGCATATATAACCATATCTCCACAATTTTACCACACATATGTGGGACAAGAATATCTTCTTTCCATGGTTTCTTTTTTTGGGGGGGGGCATTGGCGCTGTGGGTTAAACCACAGAGCATAGGACTTACCGATCAGAAGGTTGGCGGTTCGAATCCCTGTGACGGGGTGAGCTCCCGTTGCTCTGTCCCTGCTCCTGCCAACCTAGCAGTTCAAAAGCACATCAAAGTGCAAGTAGATAAATAGGTACCGCTCCAGCGGGAAGGTAAATGGCATTCCCATGTGCTGCTCTGGTTCGCCAGAAGTGGCTTAGACATGCTGGCCACATGACCCGGAAGCTGTACGCCGGCTCCCTCGGCCAATAAAGCGAGATGAGCACCGCAACCCCAGAGTCATCCACGACTGGACCTAATGGTCAGGGGTTCCTTTACCTTTACCTATTTTGTAGCCAAAACATAGGGTTAAAATATAATTAACTAACAAAATACATATACAGTAAGCCTGCAACTTGCATGTACTTAGCTTGTGCACATTCAGCTTTACAATTATATAATAATAATAATAATAATAATAATTTATTATTTATACCCCGCCCATCTGGCTGAGTTTCCCCAGCCACTCTGGGCGGCTCCCAATTCCGGCAAATTATTATTATTTTTTTAAAAAGGTGGTGGGATTCCAGGAAAAATGACTTGGGCAATCCCACCCGCCATTGAACCCAATGGATTTTTACTATACACAAAAGTTGTTGGCGTACTATATTTGCATCCAGTCCTTTCTCCAGGAAACTCAGAGGCCATACTAGGAACTGACAATAACACAGGAATATAGGAAGCTGACTTATGCTGAGGCAGACCAGTGGTCCAGCTAGGTTAGCACTGGCTGGCAGTAGCTATCCATGATTTCAGACAGTGTTCTCTCCCAGTTCTACTTGGATATGGACTTGATCCTATGGCCTTCTGCATGCAAAGCAGAGCTATGGCCATCTTATGACTCAGGTTCGGGTAAGAGACAGGGACTTTCCAGGACCACCTATTGAACTTTGGCGCTGAGTAAGGATTTAAACCCAAGTTGCTTCCATTCAGACCCAACCAGTATTCTGCACTGACAACACAAAAGATGGCCTGGATCCAACAGTCTTTCTGTGATCAGAACAGAGTTCACACTCTCAGTGCCGGACTTTCTCATCTCTCCCATCCTTCCTCAGGATCACTCTTTGGCATCTAAATACTTGTTCCTGAGGGATGGGGGAACCTTGGCAATGGCAGAGAAAATGGTTCAGAGGGCAAAAAGGGAAGGGAGAACTTAATGGAATTTCTCCTTCTTTATTTGAACAGAGGAACAGCTTAGGATCCTAGCCAATGTTTGGTGAACACCCAGAAACGAAAGGTGGAATTGGCAGGTGTCCAGCAGTGAAAAGGTTTGGGGTTTCTATGGCATTCACTTCCATAAGAGGCAGTGATGGCCACCAACTTGGATGGCTTTAAAAGACGATTAGACAACACCATGAAGGATAATGCCATTGATGGCTCCTAAACCTGATGGCTTTGTTGTATTTCCACTATCAGAGACAGAGTGCCCCTGAATGCGGGTTGCTAGAAACTGGGGAGAGTGCTGTTGCACACAGCTTCTGCTTGTGGGCTTCCTCCAGACATCTGATTGTCCACTGTGAGAACCAGACGTTGGATGAGATGGGTCATTGGCCTGATCCACTTGAATCTTTTTATAGGGTTAGTACTGCATTGTCCTCCCACAACTGCTGCCCACCCAACTGCAATGTCCTTCCCTTCCTTTACTGTCATCATCTATTGTTAAAAATCAAACCCTTGAGAATTCTCCTAGAACTATTGACTCAGCTTCCTATCCTTGTGAACGATTGTGAGAAAATTAATTAGGAGAGAGTGGTAGCAATTCTCAGTTAATAGCAAATGCCTGTATTTTTCCACCTGCCTGTATTCCACTCCTTTGGAGGGCAGCTCCATTCCCACCTCTCTCGTCTAATGTGCACTCCTCAAAGCACATCTGTACGGCAGACCTAAACCACTTTTAAACTTGTTTAACAGTCTTAACTTCCCCTAAGGAACTCTAGGAATTACAGTTTTGAGTAGTTGCTGAGAGTTCTCAATACTATCACAGGGTTATAACTCCCAAGGTTCCTGAGGCAGGGGAGGGAGGGAGGGATCAAGACTATTTTAAAGTGATTTAAGCTTGTAGTGTAGAATTTCCTCAGGCTCTGTGCAGCTAAGTGTTTGTGTTAATCAGGAACACATGGAGGCATTTTACTTAGACTTGACGTGTGTTATATACTTCTTGTACAAGAGGTTGAAGAGGACATACAGCCATTCATTTAGCAATACCTGGTGTTTGGTAAGCTCTACTTTGCATTTTGTGAAATTACTGGTAACTTAGGTGGGGGGGGGGAGCCACAAGTACAAGACGTTCCATTTCCATCCTCTGTTCCAAAAAACATGCTCAATTAGGAAAGAGCACCAACAAATGGGAAAGAGCACCAACAAATGAATAATATACATGTTCATAGTTATTTGATGGCATGTGTTCATGATTCCTACATACTGTTCATAATCATCTAAAAGATCCCCATAACCACAACCTCTTCTTTGGCCCTATATATATTTGGATAGGCTCCCCATTGGTGGCTTACTGCACTGAGGGTGCTTTTGAGTTAATTTGACTCACCCCCAAATTCTCATACCCTTTGAGAATACAGCATTGAACCAATGAGATCCCCAACGGAACTAAAGCTTAAAAATCTGGCTGTGGGGTTGTGACTGCCGTCTTTCCAGTCCTCCCCTTTCAAGCACAAATTTCAACACCCATCCACACTTTCCCCAAATGTTTTCTTTCTTTCTGTGCCTCTGTCATCAGCTGAGGTTAAAATGGAATAAAGTATTACTCCTAAGCTCACAGGTTTAACCAGTGTTTCCAAAGCAAGAAGAACCCCCATACTTGACAAGACAACTGTGTTTGAACTGGGTACACCTGAGATAATCCACATGAAAAGTGTGAATGATGGGTGTACACATATAAACATATATACATATGTATCTCAGAGTTCCAAAAGATACCTAGATTCACTTTAAATCAAGTTGGCAGTAGTTGCATATAACTTCCCACCTGGGCAGAGGGATCCAAGGGGAATGTCTACATAGCAGGAGATGGTTGGAGGAATGCTACAACCAATTC